TGTGGATGATTTAGAAACTGCTGCGTTTGATGCCCAAAAATCAAAACGTAGCGATGGAAGGTTGTAATGGGAGTCCATTCTGAAATTATGAGCCAGAATGGGTAAAAGACTGGCGAGATAACTTGACTTACAGTTGAAAGTTATGAAAATTTGCTTTATCTCGCAGCTGGGGACCAAAACGCCGCTAAAACGAGGTACTTTGTACACGAAAACAATGTATCGACTGAAAGGTATTTCTGTGAAGCTTTGTATGGAACAAGTTTGAAGAAAAACGGTGAAGTGTGAGACTCACAATCCTTGATTTTCAAACACTGGGGTAGGTTTTAAATTCAAATTAACGGTTTTTCGGGACGGAGTGGTTTCGATACGTCCCGAAGAGATACTACCGCGTGACTAAGCATGCAAATGTTTTACATGGCAAACTAGCATGTAACTTGCTTTTTCCCGCGAAATGCCATTAGTATGAGCAATTTATATAAGGTTTCATTATATATTACCTTGGAAATCAAAATTGATTCCGATATATTACTGATTTATAAGAAAATCGTTTTAGCCTACGGTACAGCCACCGTATTGTCTGCCTCTTGATAACATCTAAAATAAAAAAAGGTTTCACCATCGATATTTTTACGTCAAATAATATCAAAGTTTATTGAAATTAAGAGGCGATTGAAATTCAGCATGGCGTCAAGAACCATTACAATGTTAGTCTTATAAGGCTTTAATTTATTTACCCTCATTTGAATTTTCTTGGAATTCAAACTATTCAGATAATAAAAGGCATTGCATTTATATCATTTTAAGCGATTTTAAAATGATTCGCATGCCCAATAACCCGTATAGCGAGATCATACCGTTTCGCACTAAAAAAAAATTTTGTTGGTGATAATTGATGAAATTCTTGAAAATATAGGAAAAAGCCGAAATTCCGAAAATAAATAACAGAAAAAATCGACGGTGGAACCTTTTTATATTTTGAAATGTTATTTAGGGGTACGTGAACTATTGTTTAAAACAATAAAAACAATATGTCAATGTTTTAGTTTTTTCCTTAAAAAATGTCAAAGTTTATGATTATTGAAAGTCAATTAAAATCTGATATGGCGTCAAATGTACTACCAAATTAGGGTAAGGGGTCACAGGCCTTTACAAGGATTAGTACGATAATGCTTTATTTACCTCGAATCAAAAATTCTTGGAACTCAAACTCTTCACATAATTAAACTGAAGTTAATCAAAGACATTTTTAGTGATTGTATATGATTCACATGTCTTATACGCGTATGGCGAAACTATACTGGTGGGCAATAAAACATTTCTTGTTGGAGATAATTGATGAAATTCTTAAAAAATATCAGAAAAAGCCGAGATTTTGAATCTAAATAACAGAAAAAATCGACGGTGGAACCTTTTTATATTTTCAAATGTTATTTAGGGGTACGTGAACTGTTGTTTAAAACGATAAAAACAATATGTCAATGTTTTAGTTTTTTCCTCAAAAAAATGTCAAAGTTTATGGTAATAAGGCGATTCAATGTCGACATGGCGTAATTTTATTGCCGAACTTGGGTGAGGGGTCACAACCATTTCCAAAGGTAGGTCTTATGATGCTTTATTTACCCTAAATTTAATTTTCTTGATATTCAAACTATTCAGATAATAAAAGGCATTGCATTTATATCATTTTAACCGATTGTAAAATGTTTTGCATGCCCAATAAAACGAATAGCGAGATCATACCGTTTGCACTAAAAACATTTCTTGTTGGAGATAATTGATGAAATTCTTGGAAATATCAGAAAAAGCCGAAATTCCGAATATAAATAACAGAAAAAATCGACGGTGGAACCTTTTTATATTTTCAAATGTTATTTAGGGGTACGCGAACTATTGTTTAAAACAATAAAAACAATATGTCAATGTTTTAGTTTTTTCCTCAAAAAATGTCAAAGTTTATGAAAACTGAAAGTCAATTAAAATTTGATATGGAGTGAATTGTATTGCCGAATTTGGGCAAGGGGTCACAGGCCTTTACAAAGATTGGTATAATAATGCTTTATTTACCCCGAATCGAATTCTCTTGGATCTCAAACTCTTCAGATAATCAAACTGAAGTTAAACGAAGACATTTTTAGCGATTGTATAATGATTCACATGTTTTATACGCGCATGGCAAAACCATACCGGTGAGCAATAGAAATATTTCTTGTTGGAGATAATTGATGTAATTCTTAAAAATATCAGAAAAAGCCGAAATTTTGAATATAAATAACAGAAAAAATCGACGGTGGAACCTTTTTATATTTTCAAATGTTTTTTAGGGGTACGTGAACTATTATTTGAAGCAATAAAAACAATATGTCAATGTTTTAGTTTTTTCCTCAAAAAATGTCAAAAGTTTATGAAAATTGGAATACAATTAAAATTGTATATGGCGTCAATTGCACTGCCGAACTTGGGTAAGGGGTCAAAACCCTTTATATAAGCTGTTCTTACTATGCTTTATTTGTACCCATGAAAAATAATTGGCATCAAAAGACCTCGGCTTATCAAATGCCGTAAATTAAAAACAATCGTGGTGGCCGTTTGACGATTTCCCTATCAATCATCGATAAATCAAGAACGTGTCGCTTTTAAGCAAGCGTATATTCTAGCGAAGTGGGTAAATTGAGGCGTTTTTTTCTGTAACGTCACACCAATCTTTTAGACGATGTAGCGAAATATTTTGATGGCGATATTCAATGTTTTTTACATTAAATGAAAGCATATATGAAACCCTTCCGAAAAAATAAACATAAACAGTGCGTTCAGGGTACCCCCAAATCGGCTAGGTTAGAGATGAGTCCCCTTAAAGGGGTAACAAGGCCTGTAGAGAGAAAATAGGAAAATTTTAACTTTTTCTGAAATATCAAGGCAACATTTGGATTAACATCATGGCATACCTATTTTCTTAAAATGTATGGATAAACTATCCATTTCAGCATTAAGAAGTGTAAAGGACATTCTCGGTTTGGAGAACGAAGTTCATCAATCTAATGAGCATTATCCCTGCTTCGGACAAATTTGATTTTTTTTACATAATATAGATTTGAATGTCTTCTTTTGAATAGTCATAATTTAATTTGGGTAATATTTCTAGATTTTTCGCAAAAATATTAGCGCAGTACACTGATGAACTTCTTTCCCCAAATCGAGACTTGTATTTTATTGAATCGGTCTAATTGAGCGTTACCCCTGCTTCAGTTTAATTTGGGTTATATTTCTATAATTTTCATGAAAAAAATTATTAGCCCAGGAGACTGTTCTCCAAACCGAGAATCGTCCTTTAGTCCAAAGCTTCAAAAAGAGGAAATCCACTTTTATATTTTTAGGATCCACCATGTTTCAAGAGGAATATCAGCTGAAATAACGTTTATCTAGGGGGTTTCTTTGTAGATAATAAAAACAGATGTAAGTCTTGATGAAATATCCAAACTTAAATATATTTTGACATTGGTCCATGGTCGTCTGCACTAATTGTTGCATCTTTAATTCATGAAGATGAGATTATGACTACAGTATATGAAGATAATGTCTATGAACAATAAGCATTCAATCCCTGAAGAGAAGTATGTACAGGGTGGGCCATAATGTCCATGTTTTTACTTCTTTATAAATAGGCCATGGATTTAAAATGTTATAATGTATAAAAATCCCTGAAGAGAAGTATCTACAGAGTGGGCCATAATGTCCATGTTTTTACTTTTTTATAAATAAGCCATGGATTTAAAATGTTGAAATGTATAAATGAATAAACGCACGGAATAAATGCAGTCATCGATTATGCAAATGTTGCCAAAATATTATTTGGGCATATTTAGAAGAGCAAGATTAACATGAGACTTAGGACCTGAAACAGTCTATTCATGGGCACAAAGTGTATCATGGACCTTGTCAGTTTGAAATAATCAAAATTTCAGATAAAAATGGAATGTTTAAATGGTATAAAAACAGCTTGAAAGAACTGGTTTGATCTCAAGAAAAAATGGGGAGCTGATAGAAAAAAACTGGACAAACAATGAAACGATATAGAAAGAAAATTTGTTCAAAATCCATGGTGTAATGAAAAAGTTCTATCAAAATAAAAATATATATCCTTTTTGGCTTGTCCTCTAGATGAAATGATTTATGAATATGATACTGTGTAGAGTTTGTAAGATCTGTTCCAGACAAATTTTACAGAATACATGTAGTTTTATGGAGTTTTAGTATGTCTATTCATAAAGTACCATACTGATCATATCATGCTAAAAGATACTGCTTCATTCATGTGGTTGTTGCTGCAACTCTGTGTTCAACTCCAGTTCAGCATATATATCTTTATAACTAACAAAGTCTGTACTGGGCATAGCTGCATTTCTTGTGATTGGGCTCATTTCTTCATCTCCATTACACCCCCTGTCATGCACTCTTGGTATTGGACTTCTACACCTGTAACCAGCCCATACCCCAATCAGGATCAACAGCATAAGAACAAGGAAGGCTCCTATTCCAATGGCAGTCACCCTGAGTGTCTGAGCTTTTGAACCAGAAATTGCAGCTTTGACAGCTGGAAATGCACCATTCCCTGTAGCATTTACAATATTGACTTCACTTGTCATGCTTAAAGATGATGATGATGTTTCCACACCTTTATCAACTTTGGTTGAGTTATAAGTAGATAATGTAGTCATCACCCCTTTCATTGTGGTTTGATTGTTAGAGTAAGCAGTTGACAACTTTTCAGGTCCTCTTGTAAGGACTGTTTTAGCTGTAGGTCTCGTCGTTGATGATGTCAGGCTTTTAGCAGCAGGTGTCTGAGTTGATGACTGCTTTTCAATAGTAGATGTTGAAGTTGATGCCTTTTTAATAGTAGTTGAGAATGTCTGGCCTCTTACAGCTGCTGTTGTCTGATCTTTAACTGCAGCTGTTAGTGTTGTCTGTCTTTTCATAGCAGTTGTTGGTGTTGTCTGTCTTGTCATAGCAGCTGTTAGTGTTGTCTGTTCTTTCACATAAGATGTTGGTGTTGTTTGTCCTTTCACCACAGATGTTGGTGTGTTTACAGCTGCAGATGTTGTACTTTTTCTTTTAACAGTAGGTGTTGTCAATATGTTTGCACCAGTTGTGGTTTCTGATGTTTTAAATGAATTTGTACTCAAGACTGTTGTAATGTTAATTGCTGAGAAGCTTGTCTTAGATGGTAATTGAGTTGTGAGTAGTAGATCTGAAAATATAAAATGAATGTTTGAAAAATCGTTAACGTTAATGTTTTTCAATTTTCTAATGTTACCCTTTGGAGACTTTTTCGAGTTCAGATAATTAGGATGTTGAAATTTATATTGACGGACAATATAATGATTACCTACCACACTGAACAGGATGAAGTTTGACATCATCTATGGCCATATCACTAAGAAAACTATTGTTGCGTGTTCCTTCTATGATCATCTGGAAATATAAAATGCAATTATGTAAGTCATAAAGACAAGGTTCTTTAAACTCTTTTAAGAACTTAGGTTCTTCTATAGTCATTCTTTTCACGTATGACAACTCATTTTTAAAAATATTGTTGAAATGAAAATGAAATTCAGCCAGTAACACGTTTGCAAGGTCAAGAGAATCACCCCATGCCCAGGGTTCAAAGAAGACTATGTCTGTAATGTAAATCTGAATTGAGAAGACATATCACTGATTGGGTCAAATTGCCAGACAAATGATATCATTCAATGGCTGTTTCAAAGGTTTCTAAACACAATTCGAATAATATAATGTTAACTTCTGGCATGTTAATTTTAGCTCGTTATTTTACATCAAGATAAAGAAGGATGAAAGGAATATGCTAACACCACAACAACAAGTTGTGTTCATAAACTAGCTCGAGAAAACTCTGAAAAACAAAGGGTCATCTCTAAAAATCTGGGGCTTTCCCTCCTCTTTGCAAGGTCATTCTTGGCTAATCATTATGGTACACAAGGTTGGCCAAAAAATCCATATTTTTTTGGTTGTAACTTTTTAATAATGCACATAATTTAGTACTTTGATTTGTCAGAGTGTGATATACCATGCCTAGTTTTGTGTAAAGGATACATAGGGCACATATTAATGAATAACAATAATGTACACAGCAGAAATTACTTAATTACTATGAATCTTTTGTCTTTTCCAATCAGCATTTTTGAATTTTTTGCATCAGCACCAAAATGACGACAATATAGCATTTTGAAAAATTGGGATAATTACAATAAAATGTTGTACTAACCCTGAATCTCATTGACATTGGTGGAACAAAGATGCTTCCCTGTAACCACATTTCACCATGGTAACCAGTTGCTGTGAAATGAGGCCTCATTTCAGCTTGTTTTACATTAACACCTTCTGGCTGAATAAGAACCTTTAGAGTTCCAACTACAACATATTTGAAAAGGCTATAATAAATGTGTCAATGGTGTGAAACATATAATGCATTTTCTGTTTCACTAGTGAGAATGATCAAAAGGAGCACAGTAGATAGAGTACCCAACATTAGGCATTATAGGTTATTCATGAACTGATCAACAGATGTGTCCATCAAACCAATTTCTAGCTCCAAGAAAAAGAACAATGCAATGAAAATAAGATAAAGTCCTGAAGATAACCAAATGACAGTCGAACCATACACTTGTTGAGCCAATATTTCACTATTTGGTCCAACATTTTGTACAACATCTAACAGGTTGGACTATATGATACACCTGTTGGATTATCATAATGACATTCTAAAGTTGACTACCTACTATGCTCATTTATTTTTCCATCTATCACCCAAGTATATTTAGCTAAACTTTTATCTGGGGTAAAACATTTTGTACAATAACTTCTTTAGAGCTCAACAATCCTCATAACCACAAAGGTGCATCTGGCATTAACTTACTTCCTTGGCCATGCATGTGGTACCAGAATGTAAAGCAGGACCCTGACTGATTGGCCTGGTAGAGAGGGGAAAAGAGACTGGCCTGGTCAAATGGCAATCTTGGCTTTGACGACTCCATGTACATATAATGCCCTGAAATAGAGCAATTTTTGTAATAAACAACCAAGTACATGTAGAATTGGCAAGCAAGTACATGGTACAATTGATCCCAGAAAAAAAGTTGGGCCCAAAAAAAAATTTTGAGCCAAAAAAGGCCTTAAAGCCCCAAAAGTGGGCCTTTTAGGTCACAAATGGGCCTAATTTTTTAATTTTAGGCCACATTTTAAAGAAAAATGTCAAAATTTGGGGTTTTGGGGCCCAAATTCTTTTTTATCTCAGACCAGAAGGTTGGGTCCCCCTTGGTTCCCAGATCTGCCCCTGTATACAGTCATACATTTTTAATGTTCAACTATCTGAAATTCACTGACCTGTTTGATTACCAAATGTGTGATCAAAGTCGGGACCTGTGTTTCTTGTAGGTGTTCTACCTGCCAGCCAGGACCAGTTGAAATCACAACCATCCATGTTACTGTTTGAACAATGAGACCAACCACAGAGAGACACATCCTCAAAATCACATTCTGTTGGAGGTACTATAACAAACAGAAAATACAAATGATAAACTCATGTAATTGCAACCTGATGACAGTGAATTATTTAAATAATATATCAATCCTTGAATTAAGACATACGATTTAAAAACTGAAAAACCCAAAACACCAAATAACACCCTCCCCTCAATGGTATAACAAATTCATAATTATAGTTACATGTACCTATACATTTGGGGACATGATCAGTCCAATTTTTGCCAGTGCAGTATATGGTTGAATTCCCCTGCAGAAGCATGTAAGGTTTGCAGGAGAACGCTTTCTTTGCTCCACCCATTGTTGTAGATATCTTCAGATTCCCAGGATTGCGTATAGTAGGACAGCCTCGTGCTGAAAACAAGGATCACATAATGGTTTTAAAAGTCTGAATACTTTGTCTAACGAGAGCTATGTAAAGAATTTCCACTTACTGAAATTAGTAATGGTACAGAATTAGAAAAGTGACGTCATTCATGAGCATCTATTGTTGCCAAAGTCCCCATAATTCCACATATTGAATTCATGAATAAAAAAATACCTAGATTAAGGAAACATTGTATCTAGCCAACCTTTTACTTCTCTCTTGGGGGATATTGATTTTTGAAAGGATGGCTCATTCATATCCAATCTCTATGTGGGATTTTGCTCAACTTTAGCCAAAAAAAGTTGTTAAGTGATCAAGATTGTTTTATTGAAAAATATTGAGCAACTCCAAAAGATCTATTTCTGAAGGGTCTGTTCTGATAATGTGATTTTCATGTAAGTTATCAAAAGATTTGGGATGTGATGAAATTACATACCAGAAACTTACATCAGAGATAAACAATCATCAAATTCATGATGATATCAAACAGAGACATACTGTACTCCCAGTAATATACGCTACTATAGTTTTGGAAAATTCGCAAAAATCCAAGGAAATTCCTGGGGATTTCAATGTTGACAATATTTTTGTCCATAGTTAGGCCATAGTAGATAAAAACGTGACATTTTGAGTTTTGAAAAAGAGAAATTTGAAGAGAGATCGTTATTACTGTATTAAAATGAAAATTCTTACGAAAAGGCTTAATAAGAAGCCAAAATCATTGGGTGAAGGAACAGCTATGGCTGATATCAAAGTCGAAAGATTGATCCTGTATGACAAATCCACAGTGATTAATAGCCACAAAATTTCAAAAATTGAAAATTAGCGAAATATAAAAACCGCAAAATTTCAAAATGCCAAAAACGTGAAATATAACAGCGTCAAATATAAGTGGGAGTACAATATATCTGATAGTTGTAGAGGCATCAATGACTATAATGTAACTTTATCACCAATGTAGGAGTAAGTGAAACTTGATCTTTTCCTTGATGAATATCAATGCACACTTATTTGGAAGAACTTATCAAGTATTACATCCCTTGGAACAATAAAATATCCCCATTATCTATGGACATATTTCCGTTCTCCTTGCTTAATTAACTTGTTTTGGCCTGGCAAATTAGATAAAATTTGCCTACTTATTGAAACAATCTGAGTTCTTTTTAATTAGTTAATCTACCAAGACCCTTACTCAGTCAGAAATTGTTTGATTATGTGCATGTTGTCATGTTTTCAATGACATCATAATTTTTGTTTTTGAGACACCATTGTTTTTCTTGATGCAAGACTAGATTTTTTGTATAACTTATGCAAATGACATGATGGACCCTCCTGCCCCTACAATGATTAATTGTGCAGCACCTACAATTTACATAACACATTTTGTATAAAAATGATTGAGATTTACAAATTTTTAATTTATTCTAAATTTTCTTCAGGTAAAATAAATCAAAAATTTATAAATCTTAATCATTTTTGATGTTTTTAACACCGATTAACATTATACATTTCATATGACTATTTCCCCAAATTCACAATTTTGCAGATTTTTATTTCTTACCTGTAACACATATGGGTTTTTCAGTATTCCACCTATTTCCTGACAGACATACAGCAAGCTTCTTCCCTACTAATGCATACCCAACCTTACAAGAGAAGTAAGCCATGCGGCCTCTCATTCGCATTTTAACCTTTCCATTTGAAAGTCTCATCTTTGGGCATCGAAGCTTTGACTTTTTTGCTGAAATTTTTACAAAAACATCCAGTTACATAAATTGGTTATGCCAAATTTAATTCAGCAGTCATATGTTATACTGTAGATTGGGTTAAGTTGACACCCGTTTTAATTTGGTGAATTTGGCAAAATAGAAAAAACGCCAATTTACATCGTTGGCCAAAGTTTACAAAAAATTCCCGAGAATTTTCGCGCGAACTTCGTCCAGTGTATCAAGTCAGTTCCGGTTTAGTTTTTACAAAATCAGGACAATGTTACCTCTTAATTGGCTCAGGATGGGCAGTCTCAATACAGATGGTAAAATTAAAAAAACTTTGAATTACAGCAGCATCTATTAATATAAGGTTCAAACTCTACATGAAGATCTCAAAGGAGAACCTGAGCAAATATTGATCAGCAATTGATAAAAACAACATTGTTGTAGTGTCCGCCAAATTAAATAGCCGCCAATATGCAAAAAATAAAATTAAGTTGCACCAAATTAACCCAATCTATGGTAAATAGAAATATATTTCAAAAATATCAAAATGTTTAAAATAAAACTTTTCTCTATGATAATATAAAAAAGAAAATCTAATTAACTCACACTTTTTCTTTCCATCAGCAGTGTTGAAACACATCATCAAAACAGCAAAAATGCCAACAAGATATAAAATAGTATACAGCTTCATATTGTCCCCTTCGTGGCCAAAATCTGGTGGTTCGTTAAACTATCACTTCTGTCGGAATCAATGCATGGATGTGTCCTTAATTCTAAGAAATCATGGCTGAGGGATGTTTGAGAAGGTGTAATATTACAGGATGACATACTTACAATTAGTACAGATATGTCATATGAGGGGAAACACTACTTGTTATTGTTATTGTAAATGTGTAGCACAGTGAGCTACAATTACTTCATTAATAGTAGCTGTACAATCTTATTCATACAGACCCAGCTTTGGAAATGTGGGATCTGATGCCTGGTTTTTCATTCAGGGCTTCAGAAGAGCTGAAAATGTTTTCCTTTTTTAGATCCTTTCAGGGCTTCGGATTCAGAGCTAGAGCTTTTGTCATTGTACAAATATTATCAAACCTCATCTATTTTAGGAAAAGAATGTGTTCTTGATTCTGAACTTTATGGGAATGGGATTGACAGAACTGTTTGTCTGGCAGCTCTTGGATACTAATAAATATTGAATGTAAATATTTCTCCAAAAACGTCAAGGTTGATGGTATAGGTTCCGCCCAAAGATACTATTGGTCAACCTGTAAACATAATTCAACCACACTGGTGTTCAAAATTACTTTTTTCCCTTCTGCTCACCAGAAAGAAGATAATGGAGGTAGCAAACATAGAATAAATTTATGATCTCTACTCATCTTTCATCCTTAGAAGAGTTTTAGCTACTTGAGTGGTGGCCATTCATTAAACATGTTTTCACAGAACAATCCTTGTTATCGCAATTGAAACCTACTACATTTACAAAGTAAACTTTTCACAATTTTAAGATATATCACTGGTGAAAAACATATTATCTTCCTACTTAAGATAAAAAATGCTCTTGAAATCTTTGAAATCTTACTAAGTCAAGAGCCAATGGGAAACAACCCAAGAATAATATACCATTTTATCTCTCTTATTTCACTTGTTATTAAAACTTTAATTGGGTTGAATATACAATTTCATATATTTTTGCATCCTGTGGAGAATTCATTTTCTCTCTGTATACTTTATTCATTCCAGCTCCTTTAGTTTTTACTCTTTTGATAAAGAAAAGTATAAATGCCTTGGTGTATATATCTAGGTATGTACATACTTGGAACTGATTGCATGAATATAAATGTAATGGGTGGAGCCATTCACAAAGTGATGTTGAGCCAAGCCATTCTGGTTGTTAGGGACTGTTTATGAAAGTACAGAAAATCACAAAGGATACATAAAAATTCAAAAACACTGAATTATTATTAAGGCCTAAATTCATATCAACATCAAGTCAATCAGAATTGTTAAGAACTGAAAATGTCTGATTCAAACACTGTTGCTGTAACAATGGAAGAACGAGAAAAAATGCTGCCAGACTCTGGTAATGAGGTAAACAAACCAGACTCTGTGACGGAGATAAACAGAGACAAATTGGCTGATCCTCCCATAATAACAGTTGATGAACCTGAACCAGAGGAAAAGCAGGTATGACAAGAAAACATTTGTCTTTAGGTTTTACTTTTTACCATTAACAGTCCTTTGACGAATTTATGAGAACTTATATAAGTAATACTATCTTATAAGTTATGAAAGACATCTTAATCAAACTGACATATTTTGTGCAAAGTTAGGGGGATACAAATATCATTTTTTATTCCAGCAATCTAGTTCTTATAATAAAGGAGGTGCAACTGTTGAGTTATACCACTTGATCATGCTCTTGAAATTCAGCAAAAGCATTCTAATTTATTTTTCTATAAACAATAACAAAAGTCATAATATTTAAATGAAAAAGTCTGATAACTTACCACTTATATTGATCTAAAATAATAAGCCTCTTGAAAAAAGATTGTCCATATTAACCATGTTACGTTCTGTTCGAGAAAGTTTCCTTTATTTTCCTTTTTATTTATTTCAGAATAATGAAAATGAAACCTCAAAAATGAAAGAAGCAAGAGATAAAGGAGCTCCAAAAGAAAACCGTTTCAAACAACTTTTTCAGAAGACACCTACAACAATCAAACCCTTAAAACAACAACCTAGTGAAACTGCAAAACCAAAACCCAATCGTTTCAAAAATATTTTTCAGCATGATAAATCGGCTCCTACTACAGTTAAACCAGCAAAAGAAAATAATCCTCCAAAGACCAATCGTTTCAAAAACTTTTTTCAGAGTGGAGGAAATGACGATGGAAGAAAGCCGCAAAGAATCCAAAGACCTTTGAACCTTAATCACTACGCTACAAAGAAGACTGTCGCAACTGGACTTTTCGACTTGGCAATTTTCAGTGTAAATGCGTCACGATTCTACACTTTACTCCAACAAGGCCCTAGCCATGATTACTACTACTTTCTAGCAGTATTTCTCTCATTGATTCTCGTCCTGCAAGTAGGGGTAGGAATTTTACTTCTCCTTATCGGAACAGGAGACATCACAGATGAAGTGAAAAGTCCCAAAATTAATAAACTGAACAATATTGCCACTGTGGGTGTGTTTCTTATTACAATTTTGAACATGCTTGTGTCTTCATTTGGCATAGCTAGTGGGAAATGATAGAAAACACTAGAATCTCACAATGAACAAACTCAAATCTTAAGCGTGGATGAAGACAGAACTAAAAGCCTGCGATTTCATTGATATTTAGTAATATCAGAATAGCACAGTTAGGCAAAAATGGGATATACCTACCAGCAGACATGACATTGACTTTGATTTACATGAAATCATGTGAAGCACACTATAGTAGGAAATATTCATTTCTTCAACATTGTGGATCTAATTCTGGAACACAACTCCTCTGTAGCAGCTGATTTAGACAGTGATGCATCATTTTCTTCTAAGGTCTGGACACTTAAAGGGTACAGAACTGGAACAGTGATCTAATTGCCAGTCATAATCTGGTCATATAAATCTAGTCATTTATCCATTATAGTATAGGAAACTCTATGATACAGGCTTCTGCACAGTTAAAAGAAGTGCTACAATAAGGGAAGACTCTCTGTTCATAGACCCAGAAGTTATGCTTATGAAATGCCTATAGTTTTCTTCAAGTACTTTTTCTCATTTCCAAATAATGTAGCTTCAAATCAAAACCTCATGTGGATTAATCACCTACTTATTCAACCAGTCAACTGCTGGAGAGAATCTTCTAACTGACATGAACCAATAAATTATCTTAACTCACAATGATTTCAAGGGACTGCATTTATCTAAAGGCACTGTTATATTTATTATACTATTTTAATAAGACAAATTGTAATCATGCATGCATTCTAATATCTATATATTCTGCATTTAAGTAGAATTTGTATATTTTATGGTGTCTCCCCAACATTGGAGCGATTGAAAGATGCAACCAATTGAAAATTCAAAAATGATATGCCACTAAGTAAACCTGTTGACAATCTGTCAATTGTTAAGATAGTTTAATAAATGCATTATTTGGGTGGATTTCCAAGACCCCTATACACCCCCCCCCTAAACATTGATGATATAACTTTTTCAGCCCTCTGAAAATGTGACTGAAAAATAGCTACAATTTTTGCTATATCAACTGACTTTTTTAGAAATTTTTCTACAGAAATATTTTTGCTTCACAATTACCAGGTAAAATGCGTATTTGCGTGACATTTTCTGTCACGCAAAAAAAACTAGAGTGACTTCAAATTCTTCAGCAAATGCGTGACAAATACGCAAATTGCGGGACAGTTGACAGGCCTGCCATAAATCATATTTACCAAAATGAGTGTCTTTGAGTGAATGTGTAGATCTAATTTACGACGTTCAAGGTTGTGAAACATGAAAATAAATTCTGATTATGCAACATGAAAATACAGCCCTGTCAACCCTCATGCATTAGGCGTGATTGTCACGCATTTGCTGGAAAAATAGAAATCACGCATCAATTTAGCGTGTATGATCAAATATCACGCAAATCACGGCGAAAAAAAGTGAACGCATTCTGTTCGGTCTTTGCACACAATTGCTGTTTAAGTCACGCATTCGGTACAAAATATGTGTATACTGTAGCCTATATATCACGCATTTGTTCTGAAAATATTTACGCCTCAATATTTACGGTCCCAAGTTGACAGCCCTGAAATATATTGCCACCTAACGTTATGATGTGATAAATCTCCCTTTCCAGACTGGCATAGGCTCACAGTCAGACTCACTCAGAGAGACAAGCCCGAGGCTTGAGTGAGCCCGAGGCTTGAGTGGCCTTGAGTCTCTGAAAATTGAATGAAATGTTAGATCTAGTCTAGATCTAGAGTCAATACGTCCAAATCCAAACAGGGGGGTAAACACGAACGGGTTCCAAATAATGGCAAGCAGATCATTGAATTGAATAATAGTACCTCTACTACCTTTACATAATATTTATAGCCTGAAAGATACAATATAATGATGTATACCAACAATCTTACAATAAAATAATCAATAATGATGATCTAGGTGTTCGGAATTACCCCCATGCTAGTGTTTGTAATTACCCCCACAAACTCTGTGCGTTTAAATGAATAGATGTCAGTAATAAATGATTTAAATTTGGGTTTCTTGATATGCAGGGGTGACAGGATCCAGTATCATAAGTTAAGGGTATCATATAATGATATACCGTCAATCTAATAATTAAAACAATTAAGTTTAAGTTAAGTGTTTGGAATTACCCCCATGCAAGTGTTCGGATTTACCCCCCAAAAAAAACTCCTGTTCGGAATTACCCCCCTAAAATACCTTGTAGTAAAAATGGAATAACCCAGATATTTTTTACAATTTTTCGTAATTTTTTCTGCAAATGCATTCTACAGTGGATAATACACATAATATATATAGAATCATAGCATAGATGTGCAGTACAGCCAAGCTAACTACATTTTTTGATGGGGGTGTTTGGAAATAGACGTACTGACTAGAGTCCATTTCACTGCTTCAGTTCGTCAGTAGAACGGCAAAAATAAGAAATTGGGAGACCATTGTGCAATAATATATGGAAAAGTATATTCATAATGTACATGAATGACATTTGTATATCTTGGATTGCTTCTAGTTTGGCTTATAAAGTGTGTGGCCTCTTATATTTGGATGTTTCTCTGCCATGTTATTTTCAATAAGATTAACATGGCTGAAATTCTTCAAATTAAGCACAGGCTTATTGCACAAAAAACTAAAAAATCTGAAATATACAAATGTCATTCATGTACATTATGAGTATACTTTTCCATATATTATTGCACAATAGTCTCCCAATTTCTTATTTTTGCCGTTCTACTGACGAACTGAAGCAGTGAAATGGACTTTAGTTGAAATTCACATTGTACGATTAGAAATAAAAATCTTTTCATACAGCTTAGACTTACCCAAATGTGCCCTGCCCTATCTTAGTAAGTTTCTCATATAGATTGACGTCCCTGCAGTACGGGAAATCAAAGTCTTCAAGAGTTTTAGCACCTGCCATTTCACAAAACTAAAAATTGAAGAGTGCATATTTTGATGACGTCACTAGAACTGGTAAGTATAATTTTAGGTGTTCCTTGGATATCTCTGAAGTTAAATGAGGTTTACAATTCTAGATTAAATAAGGATGCACCCTCAGGGTTATTTTGAAGATCTTTAAATGTACATAAAGTAATCTATAGTGAAAATAAAAGTACAGCATAAACTAATGACGTAGTTCACAAGCACATTACCGGAAGTTTTGAAAAACGTCTGATACACAAATTATTTTGAATTTTTTGGCATGTTATACGAATCTGATCATGCCTAAGGTAATATCTAGAAGTGTAGTGTGTACAGACACAAAGGATGAAGAAGAATATCAAGGAGAGAAACCGCTATACGTGTACTACTGCCTCTGTGGACAAATGACCCTAATTTTAGGTAAGAAAATTATCATTGATTACAAAGTCAGCACTATCAATGGTATACTCTACCTTTAGATATAATCCTAAAAGTTCGAAAGCTTTTTGCCATTTTGTTTCACAACTGCGGTATGGTATAACTCCACCTTTTTTTTTTTTTTTTTTTTTTACTTTACACCAGCATGTATTTATTAAAAGTTTGTGATTATTATACAATTCTCTCTTTGTATTGCATTCTTTTTTTTATATTTAAATTTTTTTTATTTCAGATAATTCAAAAAAGATTTCATAAATTTAAAAATTTGTTTACATAAGTTACCTGTTGCATTACATGATAATATTTCTCTTGGAGAGCTCTAATTTAAAATTATAGTACAATACTCCACCATTGTTTTGCCGTTTCACTACTTGCCACAATCAGCCTCACTGCCAGCATATCAAACCAGGCCCATTTTCCATCAAACCTGGCCCAACTACTATCAGGTGGATGTCCTTCAAAAATCAAGTTGGCATGGTTACCAAAGCCTAATAGTTGCCATGGCAACCGTAGAAATGGGGTAAACAATGGGAGCAAAAAAGCACCCAAACCCACCTTTTTTTTATTAAAAAACTATATTTCAAATCAAAAACATATATACAGTACAATTAATACATTCACATATAAAGGTTACATGTTGTAAAATGATTTTTCCCTATTATCTATCATTTTCAAAGTTTCCTGCTCATTCAGCAGATCACATTTAAACATATGGATAGCTATTTTTATAATCACACTTTTAAAATATTTTTCTTGTGCGAAATTTTCAATACCAAGTTTTTGTTTATCACTGAGACAATTACAATCACAGGTGTTCCAAATATTTAAAACTTCTTTACACTTCAGAAAATACATGAAATAGTGCATATCATCATCAATTTCATTATCACAATATTTACATTTATCTGAATCTTGTATTTTATACTGTTTTAGATATTTGCCACTTGGATAAATTTTATGGATAATCTTCCATTGGATAATTTTGAGCTTATTATCTTTTGTACAATTAAAAAGTGTGTTCCACACATCCTTACTTATCAATGTATTATCATATTTAATATCACATTTTCTTGCCAAGACTAACTCTGATCGTATATACTTTGAATCTGATTTACATAATTCTCTATTTACAAATCTCAAGTTGTTATTATTCTCTTCATCTCCATACTTTGTAATTAACTCTTGTTTAACACATGCTTTTAAAATATTATACTGCAGCATGGTTTGTCAATTGCGCTGTACTTTTTGAACTATGACATTATATGAACATAACATTCCATCTTTAACAATATCATTTATATAAATTACATCATTTTCAATCCAATGTTTAAAAAATAATGGTCCCAAACCATGGTGGGTCACGTGCATTATCTCATGGAAATGGGCATACCAGTGCAAAGATCTTTGCTCCGTGATAAAGGAAAGCTATCTAACATTGTCTGAAGAGCATTCTAATTCTACTTTTAACATGGCGACCTGGACAACATATAGCCATTTGGGCGATAATAGGTGATTCTAAAGTGAAAATGAGTGCTTTTTTCGTAGCTTTACTTTGACCAAGGCTTGCAAAAAATTGAAGTGATAAACCTTCCCCCAATATTTGATATTTTTGTTGTCTAGAAGTGTTCTAGATGATATCAAAGTTTAAGAAAATTTGTATGTCTCGAAATATTTTGAAAATAAGTGCCATTATGGCGGGTCTGGGTGTTTTTTGCTCTCATTTTTACCCATTTCAACGGTTGCCATGGTAACTCATACCTGCCAAACTACCGTATTTTTACCGGCATCTACTGTTTACTGTTTTTTCCTGTAAAAACGACCGTAAAAAATTTACTGTAATTTTACCAAAATCTACCGTACAATATTTTATTATAATTCGATTTTTTCTATAAGAACAGCCTAAAAATATACCGTAAATATTTGAAAACAACAATATTTCTGCTGGAATTTAAAGTATTCTTGTTCAAACTACCGTAAAATCTACCGTAATTATCATGAAATTCTGAAAAATTGAATTCTTCTCGTATTGCCCTTGTAAAATTCCATTACCAACCCAAAAATAAATAGGTGCCGGCAGGTCTTTGATAGTGGTTATTGCGTACTTATTAAGTAACTAAGTAAGCTGGCGTATAATCAGTCAACACACTGGGGAATATCACGATGCAAAAACAGTGTTCAACTGTGTATCACAGGAAGAGTAATCATGATTAATTTGTAAAATGCTACATTGTAGCAATGGTATGAGTATGATGTCACAATACACTGGGGCCTAACTGGCGTAAAGGGGAGAAAAAGGGCAGATTTTCCACATGGGGACCACATTTGACTCAAAATATTTGCATTTAGCAACATACATTTCAGTACATTCTGTGTAATACTTGAAAGGCATTGCTATAATGATTTACAAAATGAGATAATCTCGGGGATTTTGCATCTAAATTTTTTGCATGATATGTCTGAAGTTGATGACCCAATTTTAGGTCATTTTGGCCAGTTTTTAGAGACTCAGCCCTCACCTATTTCCCCAAATATGACTAGATTTTGTAGAAAATGTGTTAAAAGTTTGAAAATCCAGCTGTTTTGAGCATGAAATAACTCAATTGTTTGAAAAAATGCTGAATGAGCATAAATTATCATGGTAAAATTTTTCCATTTTTGGATATTAAGGTGTTACTACGGTAAATACCACTTCTGGGTAGGACAGTGTTTTTTAATACTTAAAAACGAAGCCATGCCAACTTCAATGGTGTGCATAGTAGGTTTAAGGTGCCATGGAAGTTAACAGGAAATGACGAAACAGGAAGTGAAATTTTTTTTGCATTTTTAGACATTTTTTTAACAAAGATAACAGAGTTCTGGTTTGACCTCCAGTCAATTTAACTATTTCCACATATCATTTACATCACCAGGATCACAATGTGCATGGTCAGAATGACCCTAAACATGATGAAATAACCTTTTTAGCCCTTTGAAAGTGTGACTGAAAAAAAGCTAAAAGTAGGAGCTAGGGAAGGTCACTAAACAGAATCTTTTGAATTTTTCAGAAAACGTGCCCAATATAATGCTCTAACTGATACAATCTTTGAAATTTTAGAAAATTTTCTTAAACAAAAATGGCGGTCATAAAAAGGAAAATAGATTGCTTTTCAAATCAGTTTTTTTCAATTTTTTTCTTTTTCCATTAATGATATCAAATTTTCAAAGATTGTATCATTAGAGCAATACATTGGACACATTTACTGGAAAAATCACAAGATTCTGTTCATTGACCTTTCCTGAGCACCTACTTTTAGCTATTTTTCAGTCACATTTTCATAGGGCGGAAAAGGTTACTTCATCATGTTTAGGGTCATTCTGACCATGAACATTGTGATCCTGGACCTGTAAATGGTATTTGGAACTAGTTGAATTGACTGGAGGTCAAAACAGAACTCTGTTATCTTTGTTCAAAAAATGTCTAAAAATACAAAAAAAATTGTCAATTCCTGTTTTGTCATTTCCTGTTAACTTCCATGGCACCTTAAGTATATGCATTGTGGCCATTTGAGGTATGTATGTAAAGCTGCACTGAGGCCAATTACTTTCTAAATGTGCCATTTTAGAAAGAAATCGCCAAAATATAGTGCCGTAAACTGGAACTACTTTATTCGTTAATTTTCATCGGTGAAGCAGGGATTTTACCTAAAAATGAGTCCCTATGTTGGCGTAGTGATATTTAAAAATCGAGACGCAAACCCTATGTTAAATGTATGGTCAAGATGAAGTTTATGTATAGGGGAACGCAGAAATATAGTTATTGTATGGGCTAATTCGTTCGAAAATGGCGATATGTATCCCAAACTTGAATTTTGTGATTTTTTCAATATTTTTCAATGATTTACCGTAGTGACACCTAAATGGAAATATAAACACTTCCGGTAAATATTCGGTTCAAGTGCGAATTTGGACAAACTTTTGCAAGTTTGACCAGGAAATCACCTTTCATTTGGTATGTTAGTAACGTTTTTGATCGTATTGGGTATGTAAGAATCATATACATGTCGAGTTATTAGCATAAATGTCACAGTTTGAAGGATAAATGGAAATATAACACTTCCGGGAAATATTGTCACAAAAGCCTTTTGGACTTTTAGTCTCTATATACTATTCCCTATATTTTTAGAATATTCCATTGACAGTGCTGACTGTGATTGATTACATGTACAGTGGGGATCATAAAGAATTGCAAAAGCTATGAAAATTACCTGCTGTCGCACATGTAATAAATTCTTACCTCAGTGTATTCAATGCTCTATTTTCTCGGTCTGAGTAAGTCCAAATATAGTGGAATTTGTGTCCCTAATCACGGACCTCTGCCAGATAAGCTCCTCTGTGTCTAGGCTCAATAAATATACTCAAGGATAAGACACGAGATCTTCGGAAAATTTATTTTTCCTTGATTTTGGAGTCAGTTTTTCAATAAATAGAGACCCTATCTGTTGCAAGACTAACGCCTGGCGTAACCGTCACCATGTTATTCAGTGTTTTTTAAGTAGCGCAAGGATCCTGCCATGACCGTGGTAATGTTATCGTGAAAGCCTGGTATAACCGCGACAATGCTGTATTATATTGCAATGCCTGCCATGACCGTGACAATGTAATATAGTTCTGCAAGGCTTGGTATGACCGTAACAATGTAATATAGTACTGCAAAGCCTGGCATGACCGTGACAATGTAATATAGTATTGCAAGTTCAGGTATGAGAGTGGTAATGTAGAAATTTACGATTAGGACTGCTATAACCGTGACAATGTGTATTGCAAAGCCTGGCATGACCATGGCAATGTAATATAGTATTGCAAGGCTTGGTATGACCGCCATGGCAATGTGATATAGTATTCCAAGTTCGGGTATGAGAGTGGAGAAATTTATGATTGCTACATGTATAATTGACCGTGACAATGTGTATTTGAAAACCTGGCATGACCATGACAATGTATTA